TAACCTTTGCTAGCATTGTCGGGTGAAATGACATTCTTGCACCCATGTTCCCCAGCAACTGGTGTATATAGGACTCTGATATTGGAGTAGCATATGGCCCTCAGAACTAGTAGCCATTGTCCTCCCTGAGTTGCTGATCCCCTTGTAAAGCTACACAAATTGGTGCCATCAATACATCTTATGGAAGTGAATTCCATAGTGTGACTCTGTTCTGTGTAAATGGCCACCTTATCTAAAGTGGGCTTTGCTCAGGAGGGGAAAGGAAAAAACATATAGCTAGAAATTAAAATAATATTAACAATGAAATACTGTCCCTGGAAACGCCACTAAAAAGGGACTGCACTGATGCGGGGTCCAAGCACAGCCAAGCCATTCAGGAAGACAACTGCATGGGCCACATCCATTCCGCAGGCTGTTCCACCTGCCCTCCCTCTGTACTTCCTGATAGGCTTCGGCGAATGGGGCGGCATAACAATGTTTTAATAAATAATAAAATAAATAAATAAAATAAATAGGCTGGCCCTGCTGGTAGCTTCCCAGCCAAGCTCACTGCCTTTCCCCCTTCTAATCCCATTCACTTCCTGCATTGAGATTAACAAATACTGATTAACTATGAAATAAAACCTGCATACAAGCTTCACTTTCCATCAACTTCAAACTATTAGGAGGGGATATACCCAATAATCTGGAAATTAGAGTGATTCAAAATGAACACTTCCCAGAATTGCTTACTCTGAAAAAAAATCCATACTCCTATATTAAAAACATGTCATGAAATATGCCAAGCACTTCTATTATTGATCAAATGTTTTCAACAGATCTGCCTAGTAATTCACAGTGACTATATTTCCTAAGATCACTCCCCTTTGCACTTTCAAAAGGGTGTCATCCTAGATTTATAGCATAATAGATTTCCCTTGTGACTGTTATTGATGGAGAACAGTAAAATCATGCCCATGCCAATGGAAACCCAGAAAAGCCATGCAAAATGCCAGTGTTTCCTATGAAACATACTATAAATCTCAGCATTTTATGGTACTTCCATCCTGTGTTTGGCATGGTATGAGTAATAGGGAATCAGAGTTTTATTTTGGGAGGATCCATGTGAAACACCTACTACAAGCACAGACACTTCCTTGTCCTCACCTGTGGAGGCCCTGCAGTTAGAATGGCCATGTCATACATACCAAGGCAATTTCGAATCCTTAAAGCAAACCATCATAAATTGCATTTAAAGAGAGCATACAGAATTTATTTGAGAGGAGGCACGGAAGCTTTTAAGAAAAGATTGTCACCAGAGCCTGCTAAATCAGATCATTTCATTTTTATGGAAAAGTTTAAACTATATAACACAAACCTTTCAGTCCTCTTTCCCCAGACAGTAGGAAGTTCAGGGCAAAATTTGCCAGGAGAGTTTGGTGTTGCCAATTCTTCCTCCTCCTCCTTTTTTAACCAGAACTTGGGCTTTAACACAGGATGGGAAACTTCTGCCTTCCACATGCTCTGGCCTACAGCTCAAATCTTCTCTCAACATTAGCTATGCTGCTTAGCACTGTTGAGATCTGTAAGTTGAAACATATGCAGGACTCCAGTTGCCCACACCTACTTTTAGCAGGAGCACAAGCTGCTTACACCAAGTTAAGCATGTAATAGAAGATCAGGCAATGAAAAAATGGGGTGGTTGGTCTGACATTGCTCTGGCAAGACTGGATATTGCATGTTGAGAACTGGCAGTGATGTTGCATTAGGAAAATAGAATATTTGAGAATATTTGAGAATAGACATAGACTTTAAACCTGCACCGAGGACCAAATTACACATTACACACAGAAGGCTGTAACAGTGGACTGATGTCCCTTTAATAATTAGTAAAACCCTTCTGTCAAGATCTGAAGCTGTGATACAAGGAATACAACTCACGCTGCAAGTATCTGCAGGACGTGATTCTGACCTGTAGGTGCTTGTAGGGATTGGAACCTGTGTTATAGTACAGCACAGATGGTACCTGATCCTTACTGTTGCCTCTGGCCCTGTCACTCCTTGGTCTATCTGACCCTTGTCTCCTCTGCCCCTGTTGCTCCAGCCGCAGGCACCCGCAGCCTCCATCCCAGGACTGGCATCTTCAGGTGGTAGTGATCACAGCTTGAGAAGGGCACCAGGCCTAAGAGGACTTGGATCAACACAGTTTCTTCATTCTAAATCCCTCCAAGTAGCCTTTTGCTTTCCAAATAGGTTTTTTGCTTGAAGATATTTTGAGGTTGGAAGGGGCATAGCTTTATGGCAGAGCATACAGTCGGCATCCAGGATGTTCCAGGCTCACTTCTCAGCATCTCCAGGTAGGTCTGGATTCTTGGCTGACAGTCTGGTGAGCTGCAGTTGGTTCATGTCAACACCTCTGAGCTATATGGATTCATGGTATGACTCAGTAAATAGTAGCTACCTGTGTAGCTATTATGAGTTTTTCATGTGTGGGTGTGGGTTGTGTGGTCTATAGGTCAATGGCAGAGCCCCTGCTTTGTATGTGGAAGGACCCAGGTTCACATCCCACCATCTCCAGGTAGAACTCTTGCATGAAACTTTGGATAGCTGCTGTCTCCTATTTGTGATTTCTTAAAATCAAACTAAGGTATGATACTGACCAACTTGTCCAAAACCAGACCAACCTGTGCAAAAACCCATCATTGCTTGTCATGTCATGCAAACCCAGCCATTGCATGCAGCTCTTCAGGTAGGGCTGAAACCCCACCTCTCTGAAACAATGGACAACTCATGACAGCAGAAATGCTGTAACAAATAGGAGCTAAATGAACTGTTTCAGTTAATACATTACTACAGCCCTTAGCAATGACTATCATATCTATCAAAATACAGGTGATGTGTAATGGAGATCATGTCAGTACTTATTGGCTCTAAGTAAGTAATGCTGTTACAAATGTACAGCTAAATAGGAATCAGCGTCGTCCATCTAACTAAATGTAAAAATGATCACAGACCAATTGTGAGATCCATAATTAATAATCCTTGCTGGATTGTTATCTAGTACGTAAGAATCAAAGCCAAAGCAACTGGGAACGGTTTGGGTAGTCCAAATGGGAAGTAGATGCGACTTGATTTATCTGATTCACTTTACTTTCCAAATGGTTACCGGGCTTCTTCCTTCATAAGCTCCAGGATCATGCCAAATGTTGAATCATTTGAATGTTATTAAAGGTACAATCCTCTGCATGTTTAGACAGAACAAGGGCTTGCGTCACTTTATGACAGTGTCAAATGACTAGTCAATAGGAATAGTTGTGCATAAATTTCAGTACAGAACAGGAGCTGGGGGATGCCAGTTATCCCACATTGTGGGATGAGGGCTTCAGAGAGATTCTGGCATCCAACAGACAGAACATGAATGTTTGATGAATAAGACATAACCTAATTCAAAGATACCATGGATACAGATGCTAAGGCAGCTAAATGTTGATCAGGCAAAATGGGCAATCCAGTTTCCTATTCCATTCCTGTTGAATACCCTGCGTATCATACTTCTTCACTGCTAATAAATATTTATAAAAATGGATCACGGGGCCTTAATAAGTCCTTCCAGTGGCAAAAGAGACACTGAAGCAGTAGAGCCAAGCCTAGATTCTAAGAAATATTGCAAGGTCACGTGTTGCTATTCAGACATAGCAGGCAAATTGTATTTAGTGCGCAAAGCCAAGAATGCATGTTTACTAGTGAGTGCTGATTAGTTTTTGGCCAAGTAAAAAATCAACGTAAGGCACAACCCTATGCAAGTTTGAATAGACAGAATGGCTAGGAGTTGTAGGCCTTTTTCGGCTTAAATTTGCATAGGATTGCACACTTATTCACCCCAATTTGCCAAAAACAATTTCCTTACCCATCTTTCAATCTGGGTTTCTCATTAGAGTCATTTTAACATGAGAAAATGGATCAAAATGTTCTTGGCATGGTATTGTATATCACAGCCAAAAGTGTGAGAAAAACTCCATTTGATGTGCTGTAAACCTAGTGTTATGCATTTGGAGAGTGGATTCAGACAGGAAGATCCCAAAATTGGCCAGGATGGAAAAATCTAATTTATCTAAGACTAAAATTTGGTATGGGTTAAACAAGTCCAATGTTATAAAGCAAGATCTGGAAGGCCAAAGCTACCTTCTCTGATGGGAAGCTGCATCTTTTTAAATAACATTTGTGGCAAGGAGGACTCTCTTCCTGCCCCAAAAATTAGAAAACAGCCCGTGGAGCATGCTGGGAGTTTTAGTCGAGCACCAGGTTGGAGAAGAGTATTTTGGACCACCACTCCTCACAGCTCCTCTTGCTTACATGAATTACTATGAATTTTCCCGGCTTCAAGGAAGAATTTTTCCCAGCGCAGACAGAAGACTTTTTTGATGTGCAAAGCAAGTACGAGACCCTTATCAGGCACGTTTCAGGCATCCTAAGGAGACTCTCTTTAACGTCAGAGAACTTTCTTTTATCAAAGTCTGCCGCAGTTCTTACAGGTTACCACGTACAGCGACTAGCTTGCGATAACGGGCGTAACCGAGGCACGAAAAACGTTTAATTTTTTTAAGAGGGTACTAACCTACTGTTACCCCCTCCCCTCCCCTAGATCAGTCGGGCTTCCTGCAATTTTCTACCATTGCGCACACATGCGTTCCTTCTACACCAAATCGATGTGCGCGCATTGCAGGCGCCTCCGTCTCCGGAACGGTCGCTCCCTCCCGGGCGCAAAGTTGCTGGCGCGCTCTCATTTTCGAACCCCGCTACTAGCCCCGCCCCTTCCACTAAGCCCCGCCCTTCGCGCCTCCTTTGCCGCTTTCGCGCCTCCTTTTCCCGAGCGCGACCGTCGCTTCCCAACCCTGCTGCACCCGGCCCCCTCGTCTCCCGCCCCTTGCAGCCACGCCCCCAGGGGCTCGCGTGCCCTCCAAACCTCTCCGAGGGCGGGGCGGGCTCGGCGCTGTCCCCCCGCCGTAGTTAAGCCTCGCCTTCCTCAGCCCCGCACACTCGGCGGCCTTTCTCGCTTCGCTCGTCCCTCCCGCGCCAGCGCGACGCCTCGCCGCGAAAGCCCCGCGGGGAGGCTGCGCCTCGCGGACCCGCCCTCTCGGCCGCAGGGCGGCGTGACAGACCCCTCGTGAGGAAAGCGGAGGCGGCGCCAGCAGGAGCAGCCGCAGCTGTCGTCGTCGACGTCCCCCTGCTCCTCCTCGCCGTGGTCGACAGGGGCGCGCGCCGCTGGCGCCTCTTCCCCGCCCCGTCTCTGCCGTGAGGAGGGGTCGGGAGCATCAGCCGCTGCCGGCCTCGGCCATGGTCCCCCGCCCGTCGCCTTGGAAGCAGGAGGAATTGGGGCGGCCGCCATTACCGGAGGAGGAGGAGGAGGAGGAAGGGGCTGCGGGGCGGCGGCGATGAAAGGATGGACGCCGACGAGGTGACCATCCGCGAGCAGAACTTCCACAGCCAAGTGCGGGAGTACACGGTGCGTCGCCGCGGGAACTGCGGCCCCTTCGCGGCTGCCCCTGGTGCCTCCCTCCCCTCCCCTCCCCGTCCCCCCGCGTTGGCCGCCCCCGAGAATCCCCCCCGTTCCGCCCTCAGGTATAGGCAGGTCAGAGGGTGCCGCGCTCGCCTCGACTGTGTTGCTGCGTGTGCGTGTGTTTGCACCTGCAGTTGAAACGAACAAGGAGAAACAATCCCGTTGGGTCCGTTCTGCTTTTTTGCTAGAAAGGCGCAAAGCCTTCTTTGGCAAGTCACGCTTCGCCTCGGATTTCCCATCCAAGTGAAGTGGCGCACAGTTTTTATTGCTCTCTTGCCCTCTGCTTAGTCCGCTTTCCTGCGCTGTGTACTGCGCGTGAGGGCGAGTGTGTAGTATAACGGCGATCCCTGTTGTGCTTCTGTGTTTGTTATTTTTTTCCAAAGTGCCAGCCCTTGTGGGCGTGTTGTTTGGGGTATCCATCTTTGAGAGAGGCTGGCTAAACATATTTCTGCGTCTCGGGTAGAAATAACGCATAATAAACAACGATGTTTATCACATTTCTTAATAGTTGGCCCATGTTGTCTGGAGAGAGGGAGATGCAGTTTTGTTAAGTATTCCTAACTATGCAGAGGTCAGGCAATTAAGATAGGACAAACGTGTTTCCTAGGATGCTTTTGCAGCAAGCTTTAGATAAGGGAAGAGCTGGTGTGGTGTAGGGTTAGTGTTGAGCTGGGTGTCCGGAGATGTGGGTTTTAGTTCCCACTTGGCTCTGAAGTACACCTAGTGACTTTGGGCCTGTCACAGACTCTCAGCCTAACTGACTTCACAGGGTTTTGTTGTGAGGATAAAATGGAGAGCAGGAGAATCTTGAAAGCGGGTTTGGGTTCCTGGAAGGGGGAAAAAGTAGAATATTAATAATAAAATATCGACTGACTGACATTTGGGTTGCTTAAGATCTTTTCACTTGGCACAACTTTCCTCTTGTCTATGACTGCTAATAAAGTGACTCTGTAGGTAGAGAAAAAGGCTTCACAGGCCAGTTGTGCCCTGTAAGTTGCTGGGTTTGTGCTACCTTCACCCAACTTCCTCTGCTATGGCCAGGTTATAAACTTGTAAATTGTATGTTGCACTACAGCCCCTGAGAGATGTGCATTTATCTGTGTGCAAGTGAAGGTCATATGATATTGCCTATACTATTTGCCTGAGCCACACATTAGGATATACAAGTAATATGCACTATGCAGCTATTTGTACTTACATAATGAACAAGAGAAAAGATTCTGCAATCTTGTTACCTCTTCTTCCCAAAACAGCTGCAGTGAAGTATGAAATGTACATACACTGAACCACATATATCACAACCACAACTTTTAAAAGCCTTTTGTTTCAGCAAAAGCAAACTTGAAAGCAAATTTTATTGCTATCAGTGGTACTAGCTTCTGAGTAAGATTGTTGAATCACAGCCTTCAGGTCTGCATGACTGGGGCATACTAGGAATAGTAGGCCTTTCTCCCTTATCTGTATATGGTTTGGGATTATCCCCTTGGTTGTCTTTTACTGTGCTCAAGTGTACCTGATGCACACACACACGCACGTGCGCGTATATTCTGTATATTTCTTGCTAGATTCGGAGAACATATACTTAACTTGTGCTTAAACAGATTAAACCCTTGAATATTCCTTGAGTTTAATAATTGGCTGGATGAAGGTGCACAAACAGGTTAAACCCAGACAAGACAGAGATGCTGGTTGGTAGAAAACTAGATTCTAGGATTGGGATTCAGCCTATTCTGGAAGGGCTTGTGTTCCCCTGAGGGCACATGTCTGTAGCTTTTGAGTGCTGCTTCTGTTGCCCTGGCTCTACAGGTGACAAGGAGTGTGCTTGCACAATTGCACCTGATGTACCCTTCCAGAGTCATCCAATTTGACAATTTTAAATTATTAATTATATTTAGATTTAAATAAACACTATTATTTAACTTGTCTTTATTAATATTATAATTACATTTATGTAAGCCACCTTTTTTCTTCCATAACTCCCAGGGTGGCATGTGCAGTCCTCCTCTTCATCTTTGCAACAACCCTGTGAGATATGTCAGACTGGGGTTCAGTGACTGGTCTTGGGAGTTTCATGGTTGAATGGAGATTAGAGACTAGATCTCCCAAGTCTTAGTCCATACCTTAATTGCTGCACCACATTTGCTGTTTCAGTAGTAATTAATGCCTTGGTTATGTCATGTTTAGACTACCACAATGCACTGTATATGGGGCTACCCACAAAGAGCTTCCAGAAGCTTTAATTGTCGTGAAATGTGGCAGTTAGGCTACTAACTGGAGCACAGTATTGAGATCTTACACTAGTCTTCAAGAATCTGTGAACATGTTGACATTTGTTTTCTGGGATCGATGCAAAATGTTGGCCTTAAATTTTAAAACTCTAAACACTGTAGGGCCTGGTGGTCTGACGGTCTGCTTCTCTCATTATGAACATGCCTGGCTACCAAAATCTGCCAAAGAGGCCTTCTTGAGGTTGCCTGCAGAGGCCTGCTTGTTCGGCACCTGTGAAAGGTAGTGATCTCAAACTGTGGAACATGCTCACTCAAGAATTTGCTGCCTCAGTGATGAGTCCTTGCTTTCTTGGCACATCTCTTTCATTTAAATTATATAATTTTAATGTTTTATGGTTTTTAATGTTCCAGGTTTTTATAGCATCAAATTTTTAGTGTTAAAATTGTATGTCATGTTCATTGCTTTTTGGCAAATAAGGTGGCATATGAATGTTAACAATGCTATTTCATTTTAAAATCACCTTTCATCTGAAGCTTTCTGGCTGTTTTTGCATTAAAAAAATTGTTTTGTATAGAACTTATGTTATCCTCATTTGCATAGAGTCAGGATGAAGGCTTTGTGGCCTTTGGTTTGGACTGCAAATCCCAGCCTTTCTCACCTTGGCGATGCTGGCTAGGACTGATGGGATTTGCAGTCCAGCATCATCTGCTGAACCACATGTGCTCCGCCCCTAGCATATAGAATGCTTGTTAGCTCCAGATCATGATCCCAACCTTAATCTCAAATCAGAAGTATATGGTACACATAACTCCCACTGTTACTGTGGCCCTTGTATAATTATTGTCATTTGTAGTTTATTCTTCTTAAAAAGAAAAATTCCAACTTTTTGTCCAAGTGGTTTGAGCTAATATTCACGGATCTCCCTTTTCATAATACTTACCTTCATAACTGTGTGAGAGCGAGTCTAACGCATGAACTTGTAGGGACACAGGCAAGGAAGGGCCTCCTGCACACTTGTTGCTTCCTCTTTCAGTCAGCTTTGATTAGCAATCCATGAATACCCTGTTCTTGGATTGTTTAATAACTAAAACCAGAACAAAGAGTTCTTCACAAACCTATAAGCTGGGGTTTAACCCAACTACAAACAATGGGTGAGTGTTTTGATCTCTCAGTTGTTTGACCTTAACCTAGAGCCTGGGTTTCAAATGTTACATCAAACAATCCAAGAATAGATGTTTCTGCTTTGTGATTAAAGCTGATTCAAAACAGATAAGTACTAGGGAGTGCACACATTTGTTTCCTTGCTTATGCTTTGAACCCGCAGTTTAAACAACCCATGGCTTGTATGATGTGCAGGCTGGGACAGTAAATGGTATAAGGCTACCCAATAAACTTCACAGGTGAGCAAGGGATTTGAATGTCAGTCTCCCCAGTCAGCCCCAAATTCTAACAGGCTAGCTTCTCAGGGTATGTTGAGTACAATATACATAATTTGTCCAGACCTCTGATACTGATATATCTTGCACTCTAGATCAACCAGTCTTCTAAGGGCACTGTACTTTGGGGTCACTTTAGTCTCCCTGCAGTGGATTTTCCCCATGCAGCACCAAATAGTCTATTCCTCATAAAGTCCTTATTGCTCAGTTTTGCTTTGTTTCATGCTGGGTATATGCAAAGTTACCAAAAATGTCTATATGGCTTCTCCTGTAGTATTCAATTTGCTTGTCATTCACTTTTTCGTCACATCCTGAAAAGCAAAAAATGGAATCTACACATCTCCCCAAGATGGAATCTACACATCTCCCAAAGGGGAGATATATGGTCTACAGAAGTGTATTTTCTGTATATATCTTTCCATGCTAATTCATCACTGCAAAGTGGAAGTGTGCATGTATTGTAGTTCTGTTTTAATTTGTTTGTTTAATTGTTTAATGTAGTGACTTGTTTAAAGTCACCCTTGATTCATGTGTAGTATCAGATGATTTCACTTTATGTATTCAGTACTGTACTGTTCATTGTAATTTTATACTTTGTATCTTTTTGGACCAATAGGTATTAATGAAATATGCCACTTTGTAAATCCCAGAGCATAGGTATGAGGCAGTCAGTTGCATTTCTTCTTTCTTTGCACTGGATTGGATCTAGATTTAGGCATATTTTGTGTGGATCCATTGAAGTATTTGCCAAGATTTAGGGCATAATCCTGTGGGGATGCCTGTAATCCTCTGAATACATAATCCCTGCTGCACAAAAATTGTGGAAGTGGAGAGCTGTTCTGTCTAAGTTTAATGTTTTTTTTAAATCAGAAACAGAATAGCTGTTTCTTTCATAATGTTATGGTCTTATCCTAACCAGTGTTCTCAGGTTTACTTTTTAAAAACTGAATTTAACCCCCCACCCTTTTAAACTGAACAATCTCTTAACTAAGAGATAAGATTACTGTTTTTTGAGGTTTTTTGAATCTTGGCATAATTCCTTGATTGCTTTTTTACACTATTCCCAGAATCATACTGGTTCCTGTGGCATGTGACACTATTGCATAGAGAGTTCATTAGTGCACAGAGAATTCATACTTTCAGAACAGATTATATTTTTAGGTCTGTGACTTTTTCTTTGCTTGTTAGTTACATCAAGGTGTGAGCAACTGAGGATTTGTTTATTCTTGTATCTGAGGATTTATTATTACTTTCATTCTTTTTCTAACACCTGTTTTCTGC